TTAGGACCCTTTCGATTCCCAAGACCTCGTACGCCGGTAAGGAATCATGGCTGTTGGAAAGTGAGTATCGATGCTGCGAATCCTCGAGAAGACCGTTTGGCCAACAAAGAGAACAGGAACAAGAGACTCTCCAAGGGCAAGAAGGGCCTCAAGAAGAAGACCGTGGACCCTTTCACCCGAAAGGACTGGTACTCTATCAAGGTATGTTGCGGACGCGCTCAAACGACTACGAAGAGGAGAGGAAAGGATCGCATCGAATGCTAATTGCAAACCCTACAGGCTCCTAACCCCTTCAACATCCGAGAGTGAGTCGCGTCGCAGCAAAGAAGAAGAAACAAACGGTCGAAATGGGATCGCCTCGAGAAACTTGGAACTGACGGATTTTCCTGCAGTGTTGGCAAGACCCTGGTGAACCGGACGACCGGTCTCAAGAACGCCAACGATGCTCTCAAGGGCCGCATCGTCGAGGTCTCTCTCGCCGACCTCCAGAAGGACGAGGACCACTCATTCCGCAAGGTCCGCCTCCGCATCGACGAGGTCCAGGGCAAGAACTGCCTGACCAACTTCCACGGACTTGACTTCACATCCGACAAGCTCCGATCCCTCGTCCGCAAGTGGCAGACGCTCATTGAGGCCAACATCACGGTCAAGACCACCGATGACTACCTCATCCGCCTCTTCGCCATTGCCTTCACCAAGCGACGCCCCAACCAGATCAAGAAGACCACCTACGCTGCTTCTTCCCAGATCCGCGCCATCCGACGCAAGATGACCGACATCATCCAGCGCGAGGCCTCCAGCTGCACCCTCACCCAGCTGGTTTCCAAGCTGATTCCCGAAGTTATCGGCCGCGAAATCGAGAAGTCCACCCAGGGCATCTACCCCCTCCAGAACGTATGTGGCTCTTTGGGAGCCTCTCCATGAGGCTGTTTTCACCATCACGGCAAAGTGCTAACTTTTTTCTTCCTGCAGGTCCACATCCGCAAGGTTAAGCTGCTGAAGGCTCCCAAGTTCGACCTGGGCGCCCTGATGGCTCTCCACGGCGAGTCTGGCACCGACGACCAGGGCCAGAAGGTTGAGCGGGAGTTCAAGGAGCGTGTTTTGGATGAGGTCTGAAAAAAGGGTTTATGTGTAGAGAGATGAGAGGCGCGGGGAAGCCCTGCGAGTAGATTCGCGCCTAGACGTTTTCCCAGTCATTTTACATGGAGTAACAACCCATAGGCGGGTAGGGAGGTTAGGTAATGTCCCTATGATATATTAAAAAACACTCGGATTGCTTCTACCTGGTGTGTGCGATTTGACGTAGAGGCCGGGCGACGTTGAACTGGTTTCTACGTCGTGCTCTTCATGAAACAGGGCCGAATTCTCAAAGATACGATATGATAGCTTCACGTCAATCGTAATGGTGGCAAAGCAGAGACGGAGATCTTTAGATGCGACAAGCTTTGCCCTTCTTTTGGCAGAGATTGGACAACTAGTAGGGCACTCATTCAGTGCGCAATAGTAGCTGCTTCAATTGCATCTTTCAACATCAAGCGGAACATCATTTGCTTGCTGGGTTAGATGGAAATGAAAGAAATATGTATGTCAGAACAAGTTTTTTATTGCATGAATATTCTATGTATTCAAAGACATGGTTAAAAACTAAATCCTAGCTTCCCTTCTCACTGTGAGAAGCAGATCATTAACAAGTCTCAAAAGTATCACAAGGAATGTTGGCATGATTGGAAGGACCAATATACCCACGGAGAGTAAGGGTATAGAGGTGAGTAAGGGGCCGGGTTCATTCTTCCTTGAGCAAAAATAGAAATACACCACTGCGCAGTGACGATGTATCTCGGAGTGAGCCAAGGGGAGCGGTGTCGAAACCGCAATGGGGGAAGATGGGGGGAACATCTGAATACATCACGACGAGCAGAATAGGAACCTGTTTGTTGGGCGTTTTTGTTTCTTTTTATTTTGGTGTCGCCCTAGACCGAGAATTTCGTCTCAGTGGGACTTGTGGTCTGAACCAGACACTCTACTCCTCAGGGACTGTTTCGCAATGTTAGCAAGCATAATTCTCGTGTACCAAGCCAGAAATGAGGGAAATGCGTACTATCAATCTCGCCGTTCTCGATGGCCTCGAGAATAGCCTGGGGAGGCTTTCCGTCGACCTGGCAGCCAATGCTCTGAGCAGTTCCCAGCATCTCCCGGACGGTACCCTTGAGCTCCTTGGCGAAAGACTTGTAGCGCATGGTGCGGGCAATGTCAATCATCTCATCGAGGCTGACGGACTTGTTGTGCTTGATGTTCTTCTCCTTCTTGCGATCACGGGGAGGCTCCTTGAGGGCCTTGATGATGAGAGAGGAGGCAGTGGGCACAACGGAGACCGCGGCCTGACGGTTCTGGATGGTCAACTTGACGGTGACACGGAGACCTTTCTGTAGGTTTTTTCGTTGCATTAGCATTGCGCGTCTGGATTATGCCTTTTCTTCTTGTGGCCATTGGGGCGCAAATGTTGTAGTACTTACCCAGTCACCAGTGGCCTTGGCGATATCTTCACCGACCTTCTTGGGCGACAGACCAAGAGGACCAATCTTGGGAGCAAGGGCCGAAGAGGCACCAACCTCACCACCGGTGGCACGGAGGTGGCTATGCGATGCAAGTTAGACTCTCGAACGTTTCGCGGGAACGCATCTCGACGCGGCAGCAGCGGCAGTAGCAGACTAACATGATCTTGACCTCGTTGGGATCGAACTTGGGAGCTGCCTGCGAGTTAGTAAAGGCCCCAAATAGCTCGGTAGAGAGGGATTCTTACGCATGGCGGCGGTTGGTGATTTGGCAGAGGCTCGTGGTTTGCTTGCCAAAGGGAGGATTGATGAGAGTGCGGTTGGGCGGAAAAAGAGACGACGGGGAAGGGAAGGAGGAAAAAAAAGAAAATTGGAGATAAGATGTGTGCCCCAGATGGGTGCCCTAATCGTGGCCCACTTCTGCTTGAGCGACTGTGAGTGTACGAGGTACTTGTACCTCGCCGTAGACTAGTCTTATGTAAGCGGATCGAGTCTCAGACTACATACTGCAGCTGCGTTGCCTGCCTATCAGAGCACCTCCATTTTAGAGAGCGCTATGAAGGGACTGCCAGTGCAGTGTATTCGAGTTGCAAAGGATCTGGTAAGGTGGGTAGTATACCTATCACTGTAGCTCTCGTGACAACAAATATAGTAAAGATGGTTCTACTGTCATGTAAAACTGTCTTGGCTTCACGATTCAGGCAAAGTCGCAGCGCATAATATCGAACCTGGCTGGGGCATATGTACGAGTCCTTATCACAGACTGGACGCCTCTGCTATCTGCTATCTCGATACCAAAACCCTGCAAATATGCTAATAGTAGCATGTACCTAGTATTTACTGGAGCTCTCCTCGTTTGCCCATGAGTTGGAGGGCTGACTACTACTAGAGGTAGCTGCATGTGTCTGGTTGTTGATCTCCTGACCAGATGCCTCATTTGATTCAAAGACAACAATTGCTGGGCCGCAGACCAAAAGCGTCTCTCCTCCGTAGCTCCGCCCTTAGCCAGGCACCTAAATTCGGGCCCAATGCTTGCCATTCCTCAAGCTTATTCGGCTCTTAACATCTGAGATATGCAATAAAGAAGCATGCCGACGGCGGTCTCCGAATGTTCATCTACGTAATAGGGACCCGGACCCAGACCCCTCTTTATGTAAGGTTTCTTTTCTTTATCGGCACCTAGAAGCCCGACTAGATTATATGTACCTGTCTGGGTAGCTTTCAAGCAACTTGCAGCTATCTCGACCTTTTTTTCTTCTCTTCTTTCTCAAAGTACAATCACGCTCAATTCCATGGCCGAGAAACCGACTCCTGCTGCTGCGCCCACGCAGTGCGTCGGCCCGACGTTTAGATCGGTCGCCGACAAGCCGACTGCGACGGTGTCTCATGAAGTACCCTTCGAGAACGTCTGCGTCCTGCCGCAGACTCCCCAGTTGATTGCTCTTCTCTCGTAGGTCTAAAGACGGCCCCTTCAACCGGCCTCCAGCGTTTTGGCCTCTGTGCTAAGCGTCTTCTGTATGCAGCATGATAAGGAACAAGGATACGGAGCGCGCAGACTTCATCTTTTATTCCAACAGAATCATCCGACTGCTTGTGGAGGAGGGCCTCAACCACCTTCCCGTCATTGAAAAGACCATCACGACGCCCGTCGGCCGGACTTACAACGGCCTGGGGTTCCAGGGCAAGATATGCGGCGTGTCCATTATGCGAGCGGGAGAGGCAATGGAGCAGGGTCTACGAGACTGCTGTCGGTCCGTAAGAATTGGAAAGATCTTGATTCAACGAGACGAGGACACGGCGCAGCCCAAATTATTCTACGACAAGCTTCCTGAGGATATTGCAAAGCGATGGGTTCTCCTGCTGGACCCGATGTTTGCAACAGGTAGCTATTCTTCCCACTCATCGTCCTCCTCCTTCTCCTCCGTCTGCCCTTGTGGTGTTCGCCACAACCAAATATTACCCGTGCCTGATGTCCCCCCATGACTGACAATCGCGAAAAAAAAAAAGGTGGTTCCGCTACAATGGCCGTCGAGGTCCTCAAGAGTCGAGGAGTCCCTGAAGACCGCATCCTCTTCCTCAACTTGATTGCCAGTCCAGAGGGAATAACAACGTTTGCCACCAAGTTTCCTCGCCTCAAAGTTGTGACGGCGTTCATTGACGAGGTAAGTGCTGATCTGGATCGCCATTGTCCAACGGCCTGTACTAATGGAATTCCGTACGCAGGGCCTTGATGAGAAGAAGTATTATGACCCCGTGAGCTCCACAAAGCGTTGGCTGACCCCTGTTGCAGTTACATTGTTCCTGGCCTGGGAGACTTTGGCGACCGATTCTATACAATTTGAAGACGGCCTTTTTTTCCCGATGAGATCCTGGTATTAAGTGTGTGTCGATATCCCCAAGCCTGTAACGCCCTAGCCTGTTCATGTAAGGAAATATACAGCAGCACAATCAATAGTCATCGTGCAGGTCGCTTTCTTCGTGCTCGTCAACGGTAGATTTCTCCAAGGGCCTTCGAGCGCCGAATGATTTGGCGGTGTTGCCCTCTCCAGCGTCTTGTTTCGCAACAGCCTCTGTAGCGCCGACAGATTAGTCTCGAAATCTCATGTTCATGAAGAAGGATGTAGAGCGTACCGGCAGCATCAACCCATTCTCCGTAGACGTCAACCGCGGCCGAGAGATCTGAAAGTTTCGGTTAGCGCAAGGACTTGGTCATGTGTGACGGCGACTGGTTGGAAGCGACGAACAATTGACGGCACACTGGAACTTCTGCCCACAGATGCGGCAGTCTAGCTGACCAACACCGGCTCTCTTGTCCAGCTTGACAGTGACTGACTTCTCGTGGTTGCAGAAGAGGCATGTGAACGTGGTTGGCAAGGGATCAGCCTGCGCTCCGGGTCAGTTTCCGCAAAGACGGGCAGCTCAGAACACGAGGTCTCCTTCTCACCCTTTTCGGCCCCATGGGCTTCCTGGAGGATGACTTTCGCTTTCCCATGGCGTCGGGAGGGGGTTTGGATGGCGATGGTTGGACGAGGGCAAAGACAGTCAGTGTCTCACGCCGCAGCTGCGAGTCGCATCGCGTTCGACTTTAGGACGTTCTCCTCTTATCTTATCGCGCAGTGATTACATACTCGTGCGCTTAGTACTTGGCTACATGTACGAGTACGTACCTTACCTTATGCGCAAGAGACCCGCTGCTTATCGTTATATTGGTGCGCTGGCTCTTGTGCTGCCGCGCTAGATGTAGGCCAGTGCTATAGCCGGTAGATGCTCTTGAAACGGGGCTTTGGGTCCGCTCTTCGGCGTCTGCCGACAGGCCTGGCGAGCAACCCCGCATTCCGCTTTCCGCTATCTGTGGATGTCCGATCTGCAGCAATGCTCCGTTCTAGGCATGACGTTGTCGTCGCCGGCAATCCGAGGTGCTGTAGGTAGTATGTACATGTATCTATTGCTGGTGCGGCAGGTAGCGGTACTGTGGTAAAGGTAAGGTCGTAGTGCCAGGCAATACCTAAAGTAAGCCGAGCTTGTCTCTAACAATAGGCCGTGATTGGCAATGTTTCAAGGGCATGTTGGATGGCATCAGACCAGATGTATGTATTAGTCGCAGCAAGGTACATACTGGCAGACAGATGGCCTACATACTAAGGTATGAGGCAGCTGATACCGTCCGTCCGCTTACCTTAGGCTCCAAAGTCTCGCTTCTGCTGCTTGCATATTGCCTATCAGATGCCAGGCGGGGTACGTAAGAGATACCGTATGCGGTCCATGATTACGATTAGGTACCGACCTGTACTCAGTCTGCCGGGTCACGTAAGGGCAGGTCAGGTCGGTCAGGCAGGGCCGCTTGCTAGGTATAGAAAGCCTCTCTGCCCAACTTGACTTGTCTCCTCGTCTTTCTCTTTTTCGAGAAGCTGTTGTCGAAGTCGTCTTTTGAATAGTGTTACCTCTCTCATCTTGATCATTCCCTCTCGGGTCTTGGTGTGTGTGAACCTGTTCGGCTTCCTCCTTTTCTCAACCTGACAGTCTTCCCTCGTCTGTAACCTCTCCTCACCTTGAGCCTCACTCATATCGAAGCCACCCTCCCTCTCAGCCCTACTATCCCAATCTAGCAGACCTCTGGCCCCCAATGGCTGCAGATGGACAGCAAGATGGTGTCCTGGACGCTCTCCGGGAGATTCAGCAAACCCAGCAGCGCCTGTTGAGTTCGGTCGAGTCGCTCACCAGTAAATTCAGCTCCTCTACCATCTCAACCGAGGCCCTTGATCCTGCCTCGAAGCTGCCCGTAACCAACCTGGGCTCGGAGAGTAGCCAAGATGCAAAGTCAAAGGACGCCGGAGAACTGGCCGCCATTCAGTCATCCTTCGAGAACGCAACGGCGCAGCCCAGCTCGGCTCTGTCTCCGAGCACCAAGACCGGCTTTACGTCTCGAATCGTGCTCACGTGTGTGCCGTCTTCCCTTGCCGCTTGGTGATCATTGTGCGGAATCGACCGTCTCATTCACATGTGATTTCCTAGGACGTATCCCAAGCAGATTGGCATCGACCCTCTCCCGATGAACTGGGGGCACCCTGATCCGTTGCAGCGAGGACCCGTAGTTGTTTCGAGAGCTGCGTCCACCATTCGTCGCAGAAACGGTTCGTCAGCTGTGTTCATTACTTGAGAAGGGAATGTGAGAAGCTTACATGAATCGACTTCAATTCAGCCATTGGAGGTGAGTCAATACTTTGTCCGCTTCAATATTCCTCCTACTAACAGCTCGTCTAGCTCAGTAAGTCGCGGCAATGCTTGGAAGCAAGACAATCTTTGTTGACCACTCTTCAGCGGAGGCTCATACTCGATCTACTATGCGCTGGCCGTTGCCAGCAAGGAGCTCAACGTCGATCATAGGTCCGTACGCCAGACGGTAACAACCTGACCCATCTTCTCTGACTCCAAGCTTTGCTAGGCCCGATTACACAAACACGGAGCCAGCTGCCAAGATTGGGCCCTTTCCCCAATGGGGTGACAAGAAGAAGATTGTCGCCATGGATCCTTGGGGTCACCTGGTTCCATGGACCTTCAAGGATATTATGGAAAAGGAGAACGGTATGGGACAACTCGCCTCGAATAGCTGACCTATACTCATACACCTTTTAGTCGACATGCGACCAACCATTGCCATTACAAAGGCTCACATGAAGGTTGGAACCGCTCCGAGCCTCTCTTTTACGCCATCACGCTGACCATGAGAATCATAGCTGCCCGAGCTCGAGGAGAGCGTGAAGAGTGGCCGACTGTATGTCGCCGAAATGCTGCGACGGTTGTTTCCAGGCGTTGGCTAATGTATCATACAGAGTCCCTGACGGAAAGGTCTGCCTCAACAACCTGGGAGAGCTGGCTGTTACCAAATTTGCCGTTGAGCCGGTATGGACGAGCGCCTCGAGCAGCAACGATACAACGACACTAATTATGGATGCTAGGTCTGGTACCTCCCCGGTGTGGCGGAGAGATTCGGAATCGGTGAGTACATATATCTCGAATCACAGGCGGCAGGGGCTGATCAGCTGCAGATGAGGCCACTTTGCGCCGTTCACTGTTCGAGCACACCGGAGGAAGCTACCCAGAGGTAAATGATGACTCGGGATCCGGATATATGCGGCTGATGCTTACCAACAGTAGTTGATCACTCGCGGAGACATCAAAGTGTTCCTCCCACCTATCGGTATGTAACTAGCCTTTCCGTTAACTACATCATTGACGGCGAGAAGCGAGGGGAAGCAAGCTAATTACCGACTCAGGGGGTCTGACTGTCTACTGCTTCGGTGATCCGGACAAGATGTCTGACGAATCTGTCCAACTGTCACTGAGAATTCATGACGAGGTAAAGCACGGCCCCCATAGCTGGTGTTCTTCGGGAAACTGACTGGCAGTAGTGCAACGGAAGTGACGTGTTTGGTTCCGATATCTGCACATGCCGGCCGTACCTCATCTTTGGCATCGAAGAGGCCGTCAAGGAGGCTCAAAACGGCGGCAGTGGCGTCGTTATATACTTCAGGAAAGAAGGTCGCGCTCTTGGAGAGGTGACCAAGGTATGTTGCCTACTGAAGCCTACAAGATATTGTGAGAACGCACTAACGTCCATGTAGTACCGTAAGACTATGCCTTCTGTCAATTCTTCACGCCCGTCTGTATCGTTGAGCTACGGCCTTTGGCTGACAAGGGAGCAGTGGTATACAACGCTCGCAAGCGAGGCGAGGACCGAGCATCAGACTACTTTATGCGCACCGAGAACATTGCCGGCGTCAAGGACATGCGCTTCCAGGCTCTAATGCCAGACATTCTCCACTGGCTGGGCATCAAGAAGATTGATCGGATGCTGAGCATGAGCAAGTAAGTCACCCATCAAGCCACCATTTCACAAATATGTATAAGGTCTGATACGTGTGACAGCATGAAACACGATGCCATTGTTGGCCAGGGGTAAGTTGTACTGAAGCAGGTTACGAGACTATTTCTTAACATCAAAATCGCAGAATTCCCATCCATGAGAGAGTGGAACTCCCGGAGGAGCTCATCCCCGCCGATTCGAGAGTTGAGATTGACGCCAAGATCACTGCTGGTAAGTCATGCCCTCTAACCATTGTAAAGAGTCCAGGGCACTGACACGTCAAGGCTACTTCACCTCTGGCAAACGATTGACTGCTGAAGAGTTGCAGTCGGTACAGGGCAGGATGTGGGAAGAGTAAGACTTTTTCTCGTTTCATCCCTGCGACTGTAGAATGATGTGCTGACGCAGAATGCAGTATTGACCACTAAATCGGACTTGCCCGAGCAAGAAGTCGTCATGGGGCAGAGTTGGTTTCTTTGCGTCATTGTGCGGTTGTTACCTAGGGCCTGTGTCTCGCTTTGTCGGGAGTTGGTTGTGGAATGTAGGCGTAGTTCTTTAAACCGAGCTGAATCTGCAGCCCATGCTCTCATTCAGACCGTCCAGATAGACTCACTAGATCCTCCTGGTAGACACTAGGTAACAACTTGAACAACAGCCATCCAGAAGGAAGACTTGGTAATGCAGTATAGTATGTTACAATATGGCTGTCGCATATGCCCACTGTATATGCCTCCTGTTCCCGTCCGTACTCATCCAGTACTTTGTGATGAAAGGGAGTATAGTAGCGGCGTAAACATAATGATGGCGTGAGAGCAGCATAATCCTACTGGTATACCCTGACAAAGTACCATGTCTTGCAATATATGCCTTCAAAGCCTGTGCGAACAACGAATACTCGACTCTAGATCAAGTGAAGATGGAAGAATGCAAGATGGAAAAGGACGAAAGGGAAAAAAAACACGGTCTCCTGAGGGTATCTTGGGCTCGGTCTCTGAGCTTCGTTCTTTGAGAGTGTTGGGGGGGAACAAGGAGCTGGGGGAGGGGGGGGAGGAAGGGATTGTCGACTCAGTTGGGGTGGGGGGCCATTTGAGCTACATGACGCGGCAATTGCTCTTAGCAGGAGGCTCTCCAGGGTTCTGGGACTTCTCAATCTGCGCAATCAGCAGCTCAAAGGCGCGGCCGACGTTTTGGTTGTAGCGCGCGCTGGCCTCGGTCCAGCCGCAGTCGAACTTTTCTGCTAGTTTCTTGCCCTCCTCGGGGCTGACCTGGCGCTGCTCTGGTCGGAGATCGCTCTTGTTACCTACTATGACGATGGGAACGGACTCAGTACCCTGTTGGCGGTTGGGAGCAGAGAGAGCGGATGCGGTCAGCGGGAGCTCGAAGAAAAGAGAGAGAGAGATAGAGAGAGGAGAGAGGAGTGAAAACGTACTAGATGATTGAGAATTTTCTCTCGGACGACCTGAACCATCTCAAACGACGGGAGGGACGAGACCGAGTAGACGAGCATGTAGCCGTGGATGCCGATGAAGTGCTTCGAGTTGAGGATGCTGTATTCGTCCTGTTGTGTTTTGGTTGCGCAAAAGGCCCCCCAAGTCAGCCCGCTGTGCTCTCAATTTTTGTTTGTTTCAACGTTCTGGCGTCCCGTGACGGAACCGCCCTTGCCCGTCGCCTTTCTTCTTCTTCATCATCATCATCTTCTTCTTCTTCTCCTCTTCGTCTTCCACCACCATCACCTCCACCATCTGCTTACCTGTCCTGCCGTGTCGACGATCTCAGTCGCATAATCCTGGCCCTTATACTGGATTGTCTTGCTGAACGTGTTTTCGATCGTGGGGTAGTAGCTGTCGACGAAGTGGCCGTCGACGAACTGCACGGCGAGGGAGGATTTGCCTGGAGGAGGAGGGGGGAAAGCGGGTTAGCCAAAGGGTAAGATTTGGTTTGATTTGACCCTGTCGTCATCGTGAGGTCGAAGGTTTTCTTATTTTTGGGCTTCATGGCGAGCGGAGAAGGGATGTGCGCGCGCTGGAACGCGAAGTTGAAATGCATGATGCATGTTGATGTGGGATGGGGGATGGATCGAAATTGCGTTGCAAAACATACCGACGGATCGACTGCCGACGATGGCGACTTTTCTCTGCTTGAGGGCAGGCATTGCGAAAGGGAGAGAGAGACTGTGAGGTTTTGTCGTTGGGTTCGAGAAGAGAATGAAAGAGTGGGAAGATGCTTTTGTCAAGAGAGAGAGAAAGAGAGAGAGAGAGAGAGAATGGGAAATGAGGCTGAGAGCTGGCAGGCGGACGATGATGTTGTTGTTTTCGTCGGAACTTACCTGTGCCTCTTGGAATGTCCAGGCGCACAGGTGGGTTGTGATGGAGCGAAAGCTGAGGAGCGGGCGGCGGCTGTTGGGTCTACGAGTACTAGACTAGACTATCACATGGGAGAAATGTGAATTAATAGCAAGCAGTGGAGGCTTGCAGGTGCTTTTGTCTGGGTCGGTGGGTTGGAATAACTACTAATACCGTAACTATGATTCATGGGCGGGCGGCTCGCACTGTATCAGCTTTGCGCAAGTCATGGCGTGGGATGATGGAGATGATGTGGATTCGCGAGGTTGCTGTTGTTAAGTTGTCTGATACATACATCTGACTACTACCTTAATTGGTGTGATTCGCTTGAAAGAGCATCTGTTGAATGTCACTCCACGACGTGCCAATTGCGATGCATATATCATACAGTATCATCTCAGTGCTTGGATACCGTGATCTGACACTTCGATGACGCTGCGGGCAGTTCCAGTGCAGTGGACCAGGGGTATCGAGACCGGTGCGAGCGATGCATACCAGAGAATGTGTGTAATTAACAGCTTCGAGTACGTGGGCCTGGTTTTTTATTCTTTACATGGCATCTAAATGCTACTATCGTAACCTCCTCAGACTATATACAAGGTGTTCCAGCTCGGCCGTCTTGTTATTCAGAGTCTTGTTGATGGCGATAAAGTGCTGAATGGCCGGCAGCAAGCCGGTCGGCAGTGGCAGCTCAGCATGGCCCAGGTAGACATATCCAAGGATGATGGCCAGGTAGCTGTATGCTATGCCGAGTTTCGACGTCTCGACGGAATCATCCTGTGAATTGTCAGCAAAAGTGAGCTCAACTGAGTTGTTGTGTAGTCCTTGATTTAATATGTGTGGCCACACATACCTTTTCAAGGGTTTGCCCGCTCTCAGACCATGTCGCAACAAGCTTGTCAATTTCGTCTGTATAAAGGGACGCTCGGGCATCCGAACAATGTTCCATTATGTTGATTGTGATTCCCAGAATCAGCAAAAGCTCGTCGTATATGCTGCTCTCAAAGGCCGACTTCTGTATAGCAGCTTGGACAGCGGAAAAGCCAGACGTGATGCACCTAGCCAGGCTTGACAGCAGTTGGTTGTTTTGGAGAGCAGCGGCTCTTGCTTCATTGTTGGTTATGTTGATGGCCAGCTTCAGCAATGTGGCGTCTACATTGTTGTGGTTCCCTGGCCAACAGTCGAGCGCCCGCAGGAGAAAGGCGGCGATGTCGGACATTTCTTCTTGTATCCTCGTCGTCGATTCATCCGCTGCTCCCGTGGATTTGGACTGCGCCTCGAGGATGTATATCATCAAAGCATAATCGATATCGTCCCGGGAACCATTTTCTGCAAAGCGAATTCTCAGTTTCGAGATGTTGGATGAGGCGTCTTCCAGCACATTCTGGACGTCAAGCGGATCCAGCAGCCCAATCAGCATATAGAGAAGCTGTAGAGAGATGGTGCGCGGGGAGAGATGTAACAATTTGTGGCCATGCCACAAGTCCATACCCAGCAGCCTGCTCTTGACGCTGGCCAGTGTGCCCCTGGATGCTTTCGACATGTTGGCAGACTTCTGTGCCGCGATGGCGGTGACATCCTCCTGTATCTCGAGAAGATGGTTCAGCAACAAACCCACTCGATTCTCCGCCAACTGGTGAAGCAGGTGTGGCGCAGGGTTCGATGACAGAAACAGGACCAAGATGGCAACGAGGAGAAATCCGCTTATGGTGTCCTTCTCGTTCGAGATGCCCTTGGCTATATTGTCTCGAGACGCATGATCCCGGAATTGGTCCATAAACTCTTTCTTTTGTAGCTTGTCGGCTAGTTCGCAGAGACCATTTCTGCGCATGGTGGATGCCAGAGACCCAGGCGTCCCTACCCTTGACAGAAGATCGTCCACCTCATCCGATGATCGATGATTGGCACCGGCTCGTCGCAGTTCGTGCACACTCCTGATGGCAACCTTAGTCTTCAATCCATCGTCAAAGTCGTCGTACTCGTCTACTACTGGGGACGGCGGCCGCATTGGCGGGCTATCAATGTCGGCCAAGAGGTCAGGATAGTCGGTGGGTTCAGCTGCTGTGTTGGATTCTTGAGAGCTCTGGAGAAAACTTCGAGATTGGCTGTACGTGACTTTGATCTTCCTTCTTTCCAGCACGCTAGTATCAGAGCCGGTCCGGCGTAAATGAGCTTCTTTGCGGATGCTGGGACGGTCGTCTCGAGCAGGCAGGCGATCCGTGTTACTGGCGAGGTCGAGTTTGCTAACGCTCGGGCCCGGGTCAGAACTAGAGTTGCCGGCCTCTTCAGCAACCAGCGCATCTATTAAGCGACGTCGACGCGTTGGAGGCGTCTCTACACGCTTATCTGCGGACGAATTGTTTGTTTCCATCTCTTTTTCCAGATTCGCGACGCTTGTGTCCATCGAGGTCAATGATTTCCGTGGCGTCGCTGGTGAGGCGACCTCGTGAGAGCTGAGGGTTCCATTTTCAGCGGATTTCGATTTTGAGTCTTTGGCATCTATTCCAAGCGGGGCGCAATGTCAGTCTCCATGCCATGGGTGAGTTGAGGACTGAGTCCATACCAAAGGCCGATCGGTGACTCCGTTTCCGTGTCGTCTCTCCTTCGCGCTCTCGCTGTTTGCGAACTGCCTGCTCGTCGGTAGTCGCGGCATTCTGGAGCGCTTTCTGTGGTCGCGAAGAGTCGCCAGCCTGTGGCGGAGGCACGCGAGCGCTCCTCTGTCGAATAGCCGGCGAGGGTGTCGCCTCTTTGGACGAGGCCTGCGAAAGCGAAGTCGTCGCATGAGCGCGCGGCCCACGAGAAGCCAGCTTCCCGTACGTGGCGATCTTCTTGCGCTGCGCCTCGACCGGCTGACGCTGGGAGTCCATGGCCGGTGATGTTTCTTGCTGTTGTGCGTGTTTGAGCGATTCACCAGAAGCCGCGTCGAAAACTGTCACCTCTCTCTCACATGTTGCCGGAGCAATCGGCCGGTCCAAGGAGTCGCGATGCAAGTCGGCGCATCCGCGAGGGCGGCAGTTGACAGTATCAATGCAGACTTGCAGACGCTTGAGCAGCGGCGTCCAATCAGACGAGGTATATGACAGTTCTAAGAGAGAGACCCTTGCCAACGAGGGGCCCGTACATATCTTATCTTAGTCTCTATGCAGTGGCCTTGGTAGTAGTGCTAGCAAAACCGCATGCGGGCAGCAGATCCGCAGGAAGAGGACTTGGAGAAGGCCCCCCCTATTCTACCTGTGTAAATGATCTATAGTAACTGTGTGGATTACACTAAAGTCATTAGTTTATAATAGCGCTGCGCTAACTAAAAGGTATATAGATTTATATAGGAATCGCTAGTAAATAGAGGTACCCCTATATAGCATTTTTTAGTAAAGGAATAGATAATAATAAAGATAACTAGGCATAGGCAAAAACACTATAGTAAAACACTATAATATGCATTTATAAAACATTTATTAACATTAATAATATTTATATCTGCTAAAATATTACTGCAGCTACCTTTAATTTTAAAGTTATTTATATTAGCAGATACAGCTTTTAAAGCTCTTTAATCTTATATATAAGATAAGGGTTATGCCCTAGTTAAAATATAACTATTAAACTATTAAAATAACTAACTGCATTACTATAATATTGCCTATATTTATAAAAATAGCGTATACTAGTTTAAGTCTGCTAAACTGTATAAATTAATTATAAAATGCACTAACTATTTATTTAAAATAAAGATAGTTTAAAGGAAGGATATAAATAATCTTTAAGTCCTAGGGATCTTTTATAGCAGCTATAATTATAACTCTAATTTAGTAATTAGTTTTCTTAAGCACTAATACGCAGCCTTAATTAAAAACTAGAAGAATACTATTATAACCCTTTTAAATTATTTAAATCTTATAGCTAGGGCAATTAATAAGACTATTAAGCTTTAATATCTTAATATCCTTCTTATAAAGAAGGACATCTCTAATATACACTAGGAATTTATTAATAACACACACTAAGGCTAAATATTAACCTAGGCTGTAATTACCGCCCTCTATGCTAAGGAATATTATTACAGACTTAAGCTTAATCCTAAGAATTATCTATAATATCTACTAGTCCTTATAAATTACAATCTTAAGCTTTAGTATTATTATTTAAACCTAATAATGCTTAATATTATATATAACACTAACTGCTATAACCTAAAGCTTTTAAAGATTAATAGCATTATAGCTTTAAGCATAATCTTCCCTTTAGCATTTATTATTTTACTAAAGAAGGATACTAAGCTATTTAAGTAGACTTTAAAAAAGCTATATAAGATATTCTATTAGTATACTCCTTAATATAGCTTTACAGCTAATGCCCTTAATCCTCTTATTATTATCTTAGATTTTAATACTATAATAAAGGCCGGTCTTTAAATATATTTCCTATAGGCGCAGCAGCAGCTTTATATATAGTATATAAGAAAGAACATTATTAAAGGAGTTAAAACGCAATAGGTAGCTAATAATAATAAGCTCTTAGCCTTTAATAAAGAAAGCTACTGCTAAGAGTAATAAAATAACTTCCTAAAGTCTTAAAAAGATCTCCTTTATACTTTAATACAGAAAGCTTTTAATCTTAACTAGCATAAGCTTTAAGCTAACTATTAGCAGCAGGAAGACCTTATTTCTTATATTAAAAAAACCTATATTACTATATAGTAATAGTAGGCTTTAATATAGACTAAGATATACTGCAATTTTAGGCATATAATAACATTACCCTGCAAGGCATAGCACTTAAGCTCTTAAATATTCCTTTATAATAGAAATTACTCTATTTATAATTTAATTAAATCCCTTATCTAGCAGAGGAAGATTACTATTAATAACTATAAGGCCTAGGTTAGCTATAAAACTTACTATAACTAAGATTCCTATTAATTTAGCCTTTATAACTTAGCTATTAAGAAAGTCTTATATAAGAGCTTGCAGATAGTCTAGGATTAGTATAATTTAATAAAGGCAGCGCTATTATATAGTTAAGTATTTAATTAGCTATTAAGGAGCTGCTTTAGCCTATTTTTATTATAATTTAGACTTCCTTATTATTATATTATTACTAACTATCTTAAGCTTTAAGTTAAAGGGACTTACTACTAGGTAAAAGTAGCAAGACTACTTAAGCTTAGTCTTTAAGACTAGCAGTAGCTGCTTTACAAGGATTTAATATATATATTAATCTCCTTATCTAAAGTATAATTCTTATAAAAATCTAGCTTAAGACTAACCTAATTTAAAGAATCTAAGACCCTTAAGTAATGCCTTACTAATAGCAACCTTAAAACACTAGAATCCCACTCCTAATTAATCTATAAGATAGTTAAAAGGCACAGCAGCCTAAGGTGCTATTAGCAGCACTATTAAAGGCATAGCAACCTATAACAGCAGCACTATTAGCAGTATAGCAACCTAAAGCACTGTTAATAGTATTATAACCGCCGCTGCGCTTATAAGCATTTGCATAAGCCTAGAGGCATAAGGAAGCTCTTTAAAATGCCCTAGCCGCCTATATGCCTACGCTTTTATATAAGACCTTAGCTGCCTTAATAAATGCAGCAGCATAGCTGGCTATAACACTAACACTATAGGCCGCGCCTATAATCCTTTAAGATGCTGTATTTCTATATATAAATATTTAAAATTAAATAATCTAGCGCTTTATAGCTAACTAGTTATCCTTAAAGAGGATTCCCTTATAATTTAAGCTGGTTAACCCTCTTATAAGACCTAGGGCTAGCCCTTAGTCTAAATATATTAATTAGCTGCATTTTTTTAAGCAGCCAGGCTTACAGCTGCCTATTTTAATTAGCCTTAACTTTATAAAAGAAGGCTATTTAGGCCTGCTTATTTTAACTCCTTAAAAGCAGCTAGGCATTTAAATTTAACAGTAAAATGCTATATAAATTCTAAATAGCATAAGGCTATTAATAAAGCAAGCTTAGCAGCAGCAGCAGCAGTTGCAATTACTTACTATAGGCAGCCTTTAGCTATATAAGCAATGCCTCTAATTCTAGCTCTCTAAATAGCTTTATTTAATTAATTAATACACCTTTTATAGTATCTCTGCTTTTATACTGTTCCTCTACTAAAAAGTGCTATATAAGGGTACCTCTATTTACTAGCAATTCCTATATAAATCTATATACCTTTTAGTTAGCGCAGCGCTATCGCAAACTAATAACTTTAGTGTGATCCACACAGTTACTATAGATTATTTGCATAGGCAAAATAGGGGAGGCCCTCGGAGAATGCCTTCAAAGGGCTCGGTCAGTTGTTCGGCCTGGCAGAAAATGTACGTGTTAGTTGGCAATTGCCTACAGAGAGGGGGGCGGGGGTTTCATCCCATAGGCCGTTCTTGGAATACACAAGCAAGTTGCAGGGTATTTATGGGCACCAACTTTATGTATGGACATTATTGTATGAATCCAGATGGAAGTGGTGTCGCCAATTAGTAGCTGTTCCTGTCCGCAGCTCAGCCAAACGAGACTGAAAGTTCGGGAATTCTTCCCCGTATATATGAAGGGTCTGCTGAATGCTATTTGCGACATGGAACACAAGCGATATTCCTAGATGAGAGATCTGCCAACAAGAAGTTCCCAATTGTGTGCTCAGGTAACATGAAGGTAGTCGAGCAGGTACTAGTATCGCGGTAGTAGTAGCAGCACTGCTGATGCTGAAAACGACATGCTATATTCAGCAGAATACAGTGGAACAGCCCCCTGTACTACAGCCTCTACCGCCTGCACATTTGACCCATCCAATGCCTTACTCCGTACTCGTCCTCCGCCCAAAGGCCAGGGTCGCGCAAAAAGATTCAGAACCCCACCTTGCGCACCCCTCCATTTTTGTTCGTGACTCGATAGGCAGCTCGTCGATTTTAGTCACATCTTGACCTGTCTCTCCAGCCTCGATCTTCTATATTCGGTTTTCCTTCACACTAGACAGACTTGCCTCGCGAGGTTCGAATAGCGAATTTACAGACGAAAACCCCCCGAAATCGTGCCACCATGCTCGACGTCAACGACTTCATCGCCGAGCGGGGTGGAAACCCTGAAAAGATTCGCGAGTCGCAGCGCCGACGCTTCGCCAATGTCGAAATCGTGGACGAGATCATTGCGCTGTGGGATGACCACCGCCGAAGTAAGGGCTCTCTGTTCCTGCTCCGGCCTCGAGGCTCTTCTTGTTGCTGACACGGATCGTCACAGCCCAGTACAGCGCCACCCAGATGAACACCAAGATAAACGAAGTCCAGAAGCAGATTGCGACAAAGAAGAAGGCCAAGGAGAATGCCGACGACCTTCTCAAGGAGAAGATTGAGCTGGAGAAGCAGAAGAAGGCTCTTATTGAGTCAGCGGCCGAGAAGGACGCTCTCCTGAAAGTCAAGGTCAAGTCCGTTGGCAACCTTGTCCACGACTCTGTGCCCGTGAGCAACAACGAGGTACATCTCACTTGATCTTATCCCCCGAACACGACAATTTTCCTAACGCAATGCTGCCAGGACAACAACGCCGTGCAGCGAACCTGGGCCCCCGAGGGCGTCACCGTCGAGAAGCGGCCAGTCCTGTCCCACCACGAGGTCCTCCTTCGCCTCGACGGATACGACCCCGACCGTGGTGTCAAGGTCGTCGGCCACCGTGGATACTTCCTCCGCCAGTGGGGTGTCTTCCTCAACCAGGCCCTCGTCAACTACGGCCTCGAGTTCCTCTCTCAGCGGGGATACACCGCCCTGCAGGCCCCTCAGTTCATGCTCAAGGACTACATGGCCAAGACGGCCCAGTTGGACGACTTTGATGAGCAGCTGTACAAGGTCGTGGACGGCGACTCCAAGAACGACAAGTACCTCATTGCCACGTCTGAGCAGCCCATTTCCGCCTTCCACGCCGACGAGTGGCTGCAGCCAAAGGAGCTCCCCATCAAGTAAGCCCGGACTACACCATGGCTTGCTGAAAAACCATGTATGGATCGCTAATACTATACTACAGGTACGCTGGCTACAGCACGTGCTACCGACGAGAAGCTGGATCTCACGGCCGAGATGCCTGGGGAGTCTACCGTGTTCATCAGTTCGAGAAGGTAATGAATGACAAACGCCTCCTCGTCCACTGTAATTGCTTTGGGTAGCTGACCCCTCCTCTATAGATCGAGCAGTTCCTCCTCACCGACCCGGAAAAGTCCTGGGAAGCGTTCGACGACATGATTGCCGTCTCAGAAGAGTTTTACAAGTCTCTCGGCCTGCCGTATCAGGTTGTCGCCATCGTCTCCGGCGCCCTCAACGACGCTGCTTCCAAGAAGCTCGACCTCGAGGCCTGGTTCCCCTTCCAGGGAGAATACAAGGAGCTTGTCTCTTGCTCCAACTGCACCGACTACCAGTCCCGCGCCCTCGAGATCCGCTGCGGAACCAAGACGCAGACCGACATCAAGAAGAAGTACGTTCACTGCTTGAACTCGACGCTGTGCGCCACCACGCGAACTCTCTGCTGCGTTCTCGAGAACTACCAGACAGAAGATGTGAGTCCACTCCCCCGTTTTCCCTTTTGCCTTTCGTTGGGACGAGGAACGACATTCTGACAACGGACATTGTAGGGTCTGCGTGTACCAGAGGTCCTGCGAAAGTACCTGCCCGGTAACCCAGAGTTCATTCCCTTCGCCAAGGAGTTGCCGAAAGAGGCGCCGGCGTCAAAGGCGCTTCCTCAGCGGAAAAAGGAGGTCAAATAGATGCTGTCCTGCAGAACATAGAAATGAAATAGAACCGAAATGTGAGCTACCAGGTATCGCAGATACACACCAATGGACACGCATTATACGCACTACATGTTGGATCAGTTAGGAACGTAGAGCACCACCCGTCATGTTAAGATACCACAACCTTGATCGTGACGATATCTCTCTTGCTTCGTTGGTGAGATGGCGGCGCGTATTGTAAAATAATGCAAACCATTCCAAATTAGACTATTATAAGAAAAACAGATTGTTGCCCTTGTGACTGTTACTATAGTATTAGGTATGGAGATGAAAGCCTCCCAAGTACACGATAGACAAGTAAACATTCTTTTTTGGAGACAATCACCAACGAAAAAAACAAAAACCAATGTAGCAATGTCATTAACTCAGATTACGCCATTCCTCTCAAAATCCCTGTCCACTTGAGCATCTTTTCCCTCGAATTTCCTTTCCTCTAAGACATAGAAAGAACCCGGCCTCTAGACGTTGGCAGGTTGTGTCGCTTAGCTCTGTTTGCACTCGGCAGCCTCCTGCTTGGGCTTTCCGGATTCATCCTGCATCAGTCACCCGTTAGTCCCGTCTCTCGAGGTAGCTATTGCATAGGCACAAGAGAAGAAAAAACTCACATCTTCGTCAGACTCCTCGTCATCGTCGTGGTCCTCGCTCATGTCGTCCTCATCGTCCTCGTCGTCTTCAAAGTCACCGGCCTCCATGTCGTCCTCATCGAACTCTTCGTAGGCAAGAGCCTCGCCAGTGAACCAGTCGACGGCACGAGGAATCAGCTTCTCCTTGATGTCCTCACCAAGCTGGTAGTCCAGCTCCAGACGCTCCTCAATGTCGGAGGCAACGTCGTCGTTTTCATCATCATCATCGGTGGGGGGCTTGGGAGGGGAGAAGAAGTTGAAGAAGGATTCCGTCGGCACCGACTTCTTGACAATTCGGGTCTGCTTGGTGTCTATGGCATATTTGTTAGCGTCGGGATCAATCAGGCACCATCCATTGATGAGATTATCAAACTCACTCTTGTTTCGCTGCTTCTTGGCTTCGATGCGAACAGTCAGGTCCTTGCCGGGGTACCAGTCGATCTTGTGGCCCTCGGCATGGTCGTAGATGAAGTCGCCGCCGTAGCCGCTCTCGTTCTGGTAGTAGTATGTCTTGGTGATGATCTTGTCGGAGAAGAACTCATTCTCTTCAAACTCGAAAATGAGACGGAAGCCGGGCTTGTCAAGGTACTCCATCCGGATGTCGACGAGGTGCTTCAGGGCAGCCTCGTCCCGGTCGGTAATCATCTCCGCAAGCGTCACCTGGTTCTTCATGGCAGATAGCCAGAACTCGGGAATACCCTTGACGTTCTCAGCCACCTCATCAGTGGGCTGCGAGGCCTCGCCAGCAGGCTCGGCCTGTTCCTGGTTTGACTCCTCCTCGTCCTCATCGCCTCGCTTGACTTCCTCCTCCGTGGGCTCAACCTTGCCATTGACGATGGCAGCTCGCTTCTCGTAGAGGGGAGTGAATTTGGCGAAGTACTTCTTCTCGAGCTGGAGAACCTCTTCCTGGAACTCGGCCTCCAGCTTGGCGTGGTCCTTCTGAATTGCTCGCAGGCCCGAGACGCGACGGCGGACGGGAGCGGGGAGGGACTCGATGTACCCAGACGACTGTCCAATGAGAGAGCCGAGCCGCCCTTGGATCATCTGCACGAGCTTTGGGTTTTGCGCCAGGAGGGAGGCGGCAGCTGCTCGTTCCATGTCATCTATACAGCAGAAAAGTCGCCGCGTTAGAAAGAGCCGTTGGCCTGGTTTCATCACTCGGAACGGGCATTTACCTTCTTTGATGCTGGCCACGCCGGGCTGCTGGGCGCGGGAGGATATGGGAGCGTTGGTAGCCGGCGTGTTCTGCGGTGTGCTGGAAGGCGGGGTAGTTAGCAATCGTCAACTGTGGCTGAAGGGACGAACAAGAGGCCATCATCAATCACTCACGGCGCAGTGGACACGTCGGATCGCTTGTTTCGAATAGGCTCAGCCATGGTGTTTGCTGGGCAGGCAAAAGAAGCAGACAACGAGGGAGCTGAGGCTGTTGGGGATGGTGCAAATGTGAAAACAGAAAGTTTTGGACGAGGAGGCGTTGGCGGTGGCTAATAGAGGTGGTGGGGCCTCAGGTTCGAGAAAATTTAACTAGCGGGAGCAAGGCCTGGCCTGAGGCGCGTCAAATGGGCGCGAAGCCCTTTGCGTGCAGGGCGAAGGGCGGTACGGGGTACGTACCCTGGCCTGTTGCGGTCATTGCTGCATCGGTAAGGCCTACTGTAGTTTCTGCAAGCGTGCTAGTACTATGTAGGCAGTGTTATTCGACTAGTACTGCCTAGTTACATAGGTAGGTACGTAGTAGGCAGCAAGAGGTATGAATCAGCCAGGTCTCTGATATCATAAGCTCTCATGGATATAGGTCTTAGATTACACAGTCTATTCAAGACTTTGACTGGGCATACTACTGGTATAGACATTTAGTCTCTTTGGGGTGAGATGAGTATGCTGATGATACTACTGGTAGTAGGTATGTACCTCAGTAGATGGACCATGGCATCTCCGATACAGTTCCTACCTTACCTTACTGAATATAAAGTATCTTGATAAATGAATTGCGCAAAGTATAGATAATCAATAAACTGTTTAAATGCAGCGCCTTGCTTCGACCATTGGCGCTCATTCCACTATCGGGGTGCTAAAGCTTGTTGAGCTTTTCCCTGCCTTGCCTTATCTGGAATATACTGTGCCCGGACTGTCCTAGTCCGTATCGCGCCTCTCTTATCGCGATTGCTTCATCTGCGATCGACGACGGATGACATCTCACCATCCACCGCTGGGCTATTTCCAACTTGCGCGACCGGCGGCTGAGCGAGAGCTGCGCATTGAGTTCGGTGCCACGCGATCTCTTCACCTCCGGGCATCTTCCATTCGGCAATGTCGTGCGCCTCAAACTATGATTTAGACGACAGTGCTGGATAAGGTTCCCTTCTACGCCATCTTTCGAAGCCAATCCTGCCCTTCCGACATATATAATGAACCCCGGGTAGCCTCGAACAAGCCGTGACCATGGAACACCGTGATACCTCATCAGCAGCTCCCAACGGAGAGCCAACTGCTGTCCCTGCTCGTCCGCGTCCATCGTACTTGCGCCCCGCCAGCAATCAGAGTAGCTTCTTTGGCGACGTCGAGATGGCCCACGACGAGGTGCGTGCAAGATCTGATACAGCACGATCTAGCTTCCAGCTGCCATGGCAACTAGCTAACAACTTTCGCCGCAGCTCTTCTCTGGCCCAATGGCCGAAAGCCTTCCGAGCAGTGTCTCGGCATTCTCCCATCGCCGGTCTCGAGCCGATTCCACGACCAGCTTTCTCTATTACGACGATGATGAGCCGAGCCCTGACAGAGGTGCGAATCTACTGGGAAACCAGGCATGTTCGAAATCGCCTATGGAGTACTAATCTCGACCAGCAGATATGCACGAGTTCGCCGGAGCGGTGATCGATGATGACGACGAAGATCGTTTAGCCGACGATGACAGTCTGGCATATAACCATGACTATGTGCTCCATCGATGCTCCTCGTCGCTTTCTCGCAGCTCTGTGCACGACCATCTTCTTCGCAGAGATAGCAATGTCACGACTACCAGCTCACATCCTTTCGGCCGCACCAGTCAAAAGGTGTACGTGGAGAACGAAGACTTGACCATCGCAATTGCTGGATTTCGGACCAGGACCGCTGGCTACATCGCCTATCTGATCCTCTGTATCCTATCCGGAGGTGTTGCATATCTAGTCTTTAGATGGCTCCCTAGGTTGTACATCTCTCTCTTGGGACAGGCCTGCCCCCTGAGGGATTGCAGCTGGGTGGTTATAGAAAACCAATGGGGCGAGATGGAAATCTCCCAGGTGCGAGTCCAGGACTATGGCCAGCCCCTTTCATCCATGTTCGGGCTTCCAGAAAAACCCCTGGCTTACGGCCTGGACGACGAGAATGACCCCGTCGTTGATGACCTCCGATCGCTCAATTACCGCTACGTTCGATTCTGCTATCACCCCATCAAGGACAAGTTCGTTCTCTTTAGCGGCTGGAAAGACCCGAGCTGGACCGATATGAAAGCCGTGCGCGCTGGTCTCGATAGCGATGAAAAGTCGATTCGCGAAATCCTCTTTGGAAACAATCTCATCGACATAGAGCAGAAATCCATGAGTCAGCTGCTCGTTGACGAGGTAAATCTACATTCCTTCGAATTCACACTATAGACACATACAGAAGAAATAGCATGGGTTTGCGACTCCAGTATTGTGGTTATAGCCGGCTAACATTTTCACCCAGGTCTTGCATCCCTTCTACATATTCCAGATTGCTAGTATCATCCTCTGGTCACTGGATTCATACTACTACTATGCCATCTGCATCTTTGCCATGTCTGTTGGGAGCATAACGACGACGCTCGTTGAAACCCGAGCAGTGAGTCCAGACTATCCTCCCAGCTGAAGCTGTTGCGAATCTGACCCCCCAAAGACAATGAAACGACTGCGAGAAATATCCCGCTTCGAATGTGACGTTCGAGTGCTGCGGAACGGGTTTTGTAAGTGAAATTCTAAGCAGATCGATACAGGATAGCTACTGATGAGCGCATAGGGACATACATCTCGTCTGCTGATCTTATTCCTGGCGATGTCTACGAGCTAAGCGACCCTAACCTGACCCAACTTCCAAGTGACAGCTTGTTGCTTTCGGGGGACTGCATTGTCAATGAGAGCATGCTCACGGGTATGTTCATGCAGTCTCGTCCATTATAGTACTGCAGCTGACCTAGGTTAAGGCGAATCGGTTCCTGTTTCAAAGGGTCCAGCGACCGACAACACCTTGGCACAGCTCGACCTTACCGCATCGACCATTTCTCCCGAAGTTGCGCGACACTTTCTCTTCTGCGGAACCAAAATCGTTCGGGCGAGGCGCCCCCAAGAAGACTCGGGGGGTGATGCCGTTGCTCTAGCGCTCGTTGTCCGGACTGGGTTCAGCACCACGAAAGGCGCTCTCGTGCGATCCATGTTGTTTCCCAAACCCTCCGGCTTCAAGTTTTACCGGGACTCGTTCAGATACATCAGTGTCATGGCCGTTGTGGCTCTGCTTGGCTTCATCGCCTCTTTCGTCAACTTCATCCGGTTGCAGCTGGAGTGGCATTTGATAATTGTCCGCGCCCTCGATCTCATAACCATTGTTGTGCCGCCGGCTTTGCCTGCAACCTTGACCATTGGCACCAACTTTGCGCTCGCCCGCTTGAAAAAAGCCAAGATCTTCTGCATCAGTCCGCAGAGGGTGAATGTCGGGGGGAAGCTGGACATCATGTGCTTTGATAAGACGGGCACGCTCACAGAAGACGGCCTCGACGTTCTTGGCGTTCGTGTTGTTTCGGCGGATGACCATAAGTTCAGCGACGTCATTTCAGAGCCCCGGCTGTTTGAGCAGCGAGAGACGAGCCGGTCCTCCCAGGCCATCTTACAAGCCGCTCTTCATGCCATGGCAACTTGCCACTCCCTTCGCTCCGTTGATGGCGAGCTCGTGGGCGACCCGCTGGACCTCAAGATGTTCGAGTTCACGGGCTGGTCCTTTGAAGAGGGAAAGCACAACATCATGGAAGGCGAAGACGAGGAGTCCGGGGGCCTTTCGCCTTCAATTGCCTCACCACCTGATGTAAGTAGCTGATGAACACATCTGACGAGGAATGCAAACTGACCAAACCTTGCCAGAAATCCATCCAACTCGGCGTCCTCAAGTCCTTTGAGTTTGTCTCGCAGCTGCGAAGATCCAGCGTCATTGTGAGGCATTTTGGAAGAAAAGACGGTGACATCTTCGTCAAAGGCGCTCCAGAAGCTATGCGAGACATCTGCCGGCCTCAAAGCAGTAAGTTGCGGACTTTTCATGTTGATACAACACCAGGATTGACACATCTTAGTTCCAAAGGACTACGACGAGCTTCTCTCATACTACACCCACGGAGGCTACCGTGTCATCGGATGTGCTACCCGCCATCTTAACCGACTCAGCTGGGTTAAGGCGCAGAAGATGAGCCGTTCAGAGGTTGAGCGGGATCTTGACTTCATTGGCTTTATCATTTTCGAGAACAAGCTGAAGCCCAGCACAGCGGGGGTGCTGAAAGAGCTCAGAGAATCCAACATCGCCACTGTGATGGTCACAGGTGACAACATCCTCACGGCAGTCAGCGTTGCCAGAGAATGCGGCCTTCTCGATCGCCATGCGCACTGTTTTGTGCCTCGGTTTCTTCATGGTCAGCGAGCGCAATCCTTGAACTTATCCAAAAGTCAATGCTAATGCTAAACAGGCGACTCTCGGGATCCCACGGCAGAATTGCAGTGGGAGAGCATCGACAATAACATATACCTTCTCGACAAGACAAGTTTGACTGTAAGTCCAAACATAGACCATTGTCCAGCTGGTTGGGCACTTGGGCTAATCATTGCGCAGCCGCTTCCAGCACCGCCAGAAGGCGACATCTCCCTTCCTTACGACATTTCCAGCATGCAAAACTATTCTCTGGCTGTCAGCGGCGAGGCATTTCGGTGGATAATCGACTATGCCCCAGCGGACATTGTTTCCAAGGTATGTTTCTATCTCGTGCTGCTCAGGAATATGCGTTTAACAAGCTTTCCAGATGCTCGTAAAAGGAAAAGTCTTTGCTCGAATGTCGCCAGATGAAAAGCACGAGCTGGTAGAGAAACTGCAAAGCATCGACTATTCCTGCGGCTTCTGTGGCGACGGCGCGAACGACTGTGGCGCTCTAAAGGCTGCGGATGTGGGCATCTCGTTGTCCCAAGCCGAGGCTTCGGTAGCCGCACCATTTACATCACAGGTCTTCGACATACGGTGTGTGCTAGAAGTCATCAGGTAAGTTTGAGGGCTCTTCGCTTTCCTCAATCTTCCTCTTACTGACTGGTCTGGCAGGGAGGGACGAGCAGCTCTCGTGACGAGCTTCAGCTGTTTCAAGTACATGAGTCTTTACTCGGCGATACAGTTCACCACCGTCAGCTTCCTCTACTCCAAAGGCTCGAACCTGGGCGACTTCCAGTTCCTGTTCATCGATCTTCTTCTCATTCTCCCGATTGCTATTTTCATGGGCTGGGCTGGGCCTGCGGAAAAGCTCTGCCGGAAGCGACCAACCGCGGATCTCGTCTCGCGCAAGGTCCTCGTGCCTCTGCTCGGATTGATGGGTATCAGCATAGCGATCCAAGCCGTGGCCTATGTCACTGTGCGAGAGCAGCCTTGGTACGAACCACCGGTGCTGAAGCATGGCGAAACCAGCATCAAAAGCTCGGAGAACACTGCGCTGTTTCTCGTTTCATGCTTCGAATACATCTTTGCCGGAGTAATTCTCAACGCAGGGCCTCCGTTTAGACATCCCCTGTGGGAAAACTGTGAGTTTCACATCCTGGTCATCCTAGCTGGGGCTTCATCAGTCTAATCATCATTGCAGGGCCATTCATCACAACCATCGTTCTGAGTCTCGCGGCGACCATATACATGATTGCAGGTCCACCACGTTGGTTGTTTGACCTGATGCAACTAAGCAGCATGAGCACGAGCTACAGCTTTTTCGTGGTCCTCTTGGGCATCGCGTTCTTGGTCGTAGCGTCGATATACGAGAAGATGCTCGCACTGCCACTTGCCAGGTTCCTGGGCGCGGCCATCAAGTGGATCACTGGACACGCAAAGACACGGAAGAAATACAAGGTGATACAGGAAGAATTGAGAAAGGCCGGCGCGTTTTGATCCCGTGAGTGCGGGTTTTGCATGGCGCACATTACATGCGTCCGATCTATATTGGAGAGACAAGCGATAAATAGACTTAGATACAGGCTGCGTCTCGGCCAGCGCAGGGCCACCTCTGCGAAGATGTTGGGGGATGGCGATGTCGGCAGGGCAGCTTTCCGCTCAAGCACCACCGAACACAAGGCCCATTGGATAAGGGCCATACTTGGATACTTGATGTCCTTTTTTTCGCCGCCCATGGTGGCTCAAGTAGATAGGGGGGGTGTTAGCCCTTGGGGATCCGTCCTTGGTAGATGAGGATATGTAGTGTAATAGAGATGATAAGGAAACGTGGTATCAAGAGCTCATAGCGCTGTTCAGTCGGCGTGGTCTGTCTTCCACTGCTTGATCCAGGATTCTATGCGATCAATGTTGGACTCCATCTCTTCCGAGTCGTTGCTCGTGAGCTCAACCACGATTTCCTCGTCAAAGGCCTCGCGCGCCTCCTGCAGCAGCACCTCCATGATTTCAGAGTCCAAGTTTTCTTGGAGCTTGGATTCTGCGTAGTTTCTGTTTTCTCACATAAGATGACAAGAAGTCACATGAATTTGTCAGCGCTGAGATCTCTCACATAAAATGGCCCAAAGGTGATGAGAAGCAAACGACTGAGTGAGGATAGAGGGGAGATTCTTTACCTTGCCTCAAGACGGTCGTATAGCGTCTTGGAATCTACTCGCAACACCACCACGAGATCGATCCAGCTGCGTGGGAACAGGTCACAGGCGTGCCAGTCGATTATGCAGCCCCCAGCCTTGACATCATCCTCAATGACATCCAGAAGCTGCTCATTAAAAGAAAAAAAGAGAAATTCGCAACCAAGGTCAGCCTCAAGGTTCCTTTCTGGCAAGGTGTCTGAATGAAAAGAGGAAGGAGGAATGTTTTCCTCCTTGGGTTTCCTAGCAAAGGTAGAGAAGATATGTACCTTGTCCTCGTCCACGATCCAGCTTTGGTACTCGTCACTCCAGCCCTCGTGGCACTCCTTGTCCTTGACCACCTGGTTCACCGAGAGATGGCGCAGGCCTGTCCGCTCGGCGAGAATCTCGCTGTGCGTTGTCTTGCCGACGCCGGGCGTGCCGGTGATGATGATATTCGGTGCTGAGCGCATTGATTCTGTAATTGCAGGGATTTTTTCTGGGGTTTTAAATCGCTTGAGAAGCGGGAGAGTATAAGTTGAGAAAATGAGATGCGATGATGGCTTTTCGCTACTATGGAGAAGAAAAAATCAAGGTGCAAAACGCCCAACTAAAGCAAAAAAACAGGCCAACTCCACCCTCACTCTCGCTCTCTCTCTTGACGCACTCTTCGTCTACCTACATAGGTTCCGTGTACCAAACCGGTCTTTCGATTTTTAACCACTTCGCCCTTCTCTTTTCGTCTTTTGACTTCTTTGCTGCTGGAATCCTCGCTCCCTCAGTCTTCATAATTATTTCATTTGATACCAGCGGACACCGCGCAATTGCCTAAATAGGGAGAACTAAATCCGCTCCGCTCTATACATAAAAAAATGCCCCCAAGTATATGTTGCCGTGCTGCAGCACTTGACAGAAAACCCTCTTTTTGACCTTATATATCAACACTCGCTAGCCGCTCCTCCCCGGATGCGCAGATCAGACGTCTAGACAGCCCCCTTTCTTTTCAAACGTGATGCATCACCCCCTTTCCACAGAAAGATTTACGAAGTCGCCGCTCACTGCTCCGTCTCGGATGACTCCTCGACTTCGGCTAGTTGTTGATGACCGTCAAAACCATCGACTTCGCCAGCCTCAAGCTTTTCTTGCTGCGCGATGGCCTGCGCTGAGACAATCTCTGCTAGCCGCTTCAGACGAGGTGTTTGTAGCCCTAGAGCGCAAGAATCGTTAGCCTCGATTCCCATGCGTAGATCTGCTGCCTTGCTGAACTCACATGATGGGGTATATGTCTCGAGCGCCGTGATGACACGGGGCTCTGCAATCTCATATGGACCACTATCTTCCATGTCAACCGCCTGCAGGAGCAAGACATCGCTCTTCTCGGTGACTCGAGAGGCGACGGCCTTCATAATCTCTCCGTTGATAGGCTGCTCATAGTCGGCAACAAGGTACTGGTTCAAGAGCTTCTGAATCTGGTTGGGCGAGAGCCTAAAATCGCCGTCAGCATCAAAGGTGGACAAAAGGGGGAGGGTTGTCCACAAAGGTAAACTCACATCCAGCAAATGTCTTGAATGATTTCAATGTCATTCAATGTTGCCTTCTTCAGTTGGAGCAGTTTGGTTGCTTGCTAAAAGGCCCGGTGTGGTTAGCATCCTTGATACATCAATCGTTAACTTGTCAAAGGTGCATTTCACATACCATCAAATGCTCAAGCTGCAACGTGCCTTCTGGCATGTCGTGGCTCTTGCACCACTCCTCAATTCGAGTGATGTTGTAGTTGATCTGCAGGCCTCGTTTCCATGACAGGAAGTTGCGGCGCATGAGCAAGTCGTTGAAGGCAGTCACGCCAACCAGGTGCAGCAGCTCCGTGATGGTCTGAGTAATGATTGAATCCTCCAAGTAGTATGCCTTCATGGCCCGGAAAACACTATTAAGCAGACTGAGGAGGTTATCCATGCTGTACGCCGGTGCGGAATTTGATTGCAGGAGCTTGCCGAGGAAGCGGTTGCTTTCGTTCGTGATGAAGCCCGGCAGCGACTGCGACTCTATGATGGCGGGGATGATCATCTTTTGCAGCTTCTTCTTCAAGACCTTCATCCAGGTGTGGTAAATGTTGAACTCGAGACTCTCCAGATCGTGCTTGACGATCTCCAGAAGACGGTCATACTCGTAATTGTCCGTCTTTTGAGTCTGGTACCAATCCTCCGCCAAGAAGACAAAGGAGAGCATTTCGTGGACGTTGGACAGCCAGAAGGCGCCGGGGTTGATGGCCTCGTCGCCATCGTGCTGCATCACCTCCTGCTGTATTGACTGCATCACATTGGCAAGGAAGCGCTCCGATTCCTTGACAAAGCCGTTGTTCCACATCTCCGAGGTCACCAAGTTGATAAGATATGATGGGAAAAGGACTTCCTTGTCCGAGGGGGGAGGGTTCGTGTTGGGGGAGGGTATCTTGAGGTTGCGGATCAGGCCCATGGTGACCTCCTCGTTGAGGCCGTCCTCGTCGGCGAGCAGGCTCTCGAGCTCCATCTCAATGTTGTCGACCCCGGGGATGAAGGTGGCTCCCGACAGGTTCTGGCGGTGAGAGGTGCTGGTGACGGCCATGGACACCGGCCTGGGGTTGTATGTGCCGCTGAGGCGGTCCAGTTCGCGAGGCTCCGCGCCAGCGCTCCGGCGCTTCGGTTTCTTAGAGGAGACGAGGTTGATGAGTCCACTGGCCACGGCCGGCGTGTTGCTGACACCATTCGTAATTTCGCCATTGAGCGTTCCGTTGCGCTTCGCAAGCTCCAGCGCGTCCCGAAGCGCCTCCAGTTCCTGTCGAAGGCTCATGTTATCCCTCTCGCGCTCCAGGCTGGTCTCTTTGGTCGCTTCTAGCTCAGAACTGGTTAGGCGAAGTGATTCCCTGAGCTCGCGTTCTTCTTCCTGCATACGCTTGATATTCATAGTCGACTCGTCGAATGCTTGCTGGAGCTTCTTCATTTCGTCTTCCATGGCTTGAAGGCGCGCGACCGCGATGCCCGCCTGGTTGGCCTCGGTCTGCAATTCTTTGGTTCTCGCCTCGAGCGCATTGTGGCGGTTCTTCCACGACTTGAGCTGGCCCTCGTAGCTTTCCACCTGCGAGATTAAATTCTTGTTCTTCTCCTTCACCGATCCTAGGTTCTGGGTCAATTCGACAACCTTGTTCTCCAACTTGTAAGAAATCTGCTTGAGATCGCGGGCCTCTTCTCGCATATGCTTGTATTCTCGACGAGCGCACTTGCCACGCCACAGGCTCTGGATCAACGTCACCCTCTTGCGGTACAGCCGCCAGGTGCGAAGCTGCATACGCGACCTCCATACTCTCTGGATGACGAGTGCGGCATTGCCGACCCGTGTCTCCATGATATTCCGTCTGCGCAGGTAACCCTTGGCAACCGACTCGAACAGGATCAGGTTCTTTCGGATGCGCAGGAATTCCTTGCGCTGCTTGTATCCGCGCCAGACGCGCTGGATGGTTGTTGCCGCGCGAATGGTCCTCAGCTCCAAGGCCTGCTTCCTCGCAATGTACGCCCGAATCACTGCTTGCGTCTGCACAATGGACTCGCGAGCCTCCAGGTAGCGGCGGCGGTAGTACTTGGCCCGCAGGTTCTTCTGGATGAGGATGGCGCATTCGTTGAGGCGGTTGGTGCGCAGGTTTTCCAGGAAGGCAAGCATGCCGGCGCGGAAGAAGATCTTGGTCAAGCCAAGCTGATACTTGTCGAGTCCCTTTCCAGTGCTGGTGCCCAGCGCCTTCTTCAAGATGGCATCGGCCATTTGCCGAATCTCAGAGGTGAGTTGGCTCGAGTGAACAAGCATGTAGTACCGCAGAGCAAATTCCTCATAAGTCCAACGAGTCGGGTATCCTGCCGTGCTGATGCGAACAGTCTCGAGAACACCACAAGCGCGAAGTTGGCTGAGAACCATCGGCCCTTCAAACTGCCAGGCCTCCTTGGCTTCATTGGGCTTGATGCATCTGATGTAGTGCACATCCGTGTTGTTGATGGTGTTCATCAGCTCTATCAGGGACGATCGGAAGATTCCTCCCAGCGTCGGTTTCCTGTTGACAGCCACGCCGATCTTCCTACCAGCGGCGGGCTTGACGGTCGACGAAGCCGACGCGACATCCTTTTCGCGAACAGCCAATGCAGCATCCAGAACCTGCTTGAGGAATGAGTTGCTTGAGGCGCGCAAGACTGCCATGTGCTCGTCGGGCACCGTGTCTCGATTCTTCTCGATGAAGCCCTCGGACTCGTAGGTGACGTCGACGGCATAGTGGCAGACTGTGAAGGCGGACTTGCCAAACCTCGGCTTCTTGAAAAAGGGGTGCTTCTTCTCGGTCGCAAAATTATGGTGGAGCTTCATGACAAACTGGTCATCGGATCCCATTGGCAGACGAGACTCTTCATCCAGGAGCGAAAGAATGCCCATTTTGCCTTCAATGAGATCAATGCACGGCTGGTTGTCCGAGAAGTCGATGAAAGTCCAGTCGATCTGCTCCCGCAGATACTCTTCTTGCTCGAGCTTGAACACATGCTGGTTGAACTCTTGCTGAAGCTTCTCGTTGGCGTAATTGATGCAGAACTGCTCAAACGAGTTCTTCGCAAAGTGCTCAAAACCGTAGATATCCAACACGCCGATGAAGGAGGTGACGCGGCTGAGAACCTCTTCTGTTGCGAGACTGTGGTTGATAATCTCCACCAGCCAGTCGAATAAGCTCGAGTAGATGAACTTGGCCACGGAATCGCGCACGACAATGGCCTGGGCCTGGCTCAGGTTGGATGTGATCTTCTCGCCTCGGGTCACGAGCTGCTTCTTCACAATCCACTTGGCGAACTCGGCGGCGTCGACGCCCAAGATGCTACAGGCCAGCTCCAATGATGGCTCATTCGGCGCGAGGACGCTGTCGTTGCGCGAAGCCGTGATCTTGACGTTGCCCAGGTGGAGCAGACCGGCCAGCAGCTTGAAGATGTCGGCCTGCTGCGCTTCGGTGACACCAATGGTGGCCAAGGATTTCTTGGTGGCTTCGAACTCTGCCTTGTCGTCCACTCCGTCAATGGTTGGGCAGTCTCCCTGGTTGAGATACTCGAACTGCTCGATTGGGAGGATGTGCAGGGCCTCCCGCTCTTCGTCCGAGGCGCCAGCAACCAGCTGGTAGAAGATGTGGTAGTTTCGCTCCTTGAGAGGCTGGAACACAAGACGTGATCGCTCCAGCAGATATGTGCGGATCTTGGCGCCGATGATGTTCCTCCCGCTGTCAAACATGATTTCGATGTATTTACCAAATCGCGATGAGTTGTCGTTGCGGGTGGTTTTGGCGTTGCCAAAGGCTTCCATGATGGGGTTGGTTGCCAGAATCTGTTCCTCCGTCTCGCTCATGGTCTCGGCGCCTCGCTTGCTGCGAGCACCAGGGTTTTCGGGGGATTCTCTCGTAGCGAAGTAGCGCATGATGTACTTTGCGCTGACTGTCTTTCCTGCACCGGATTCGCCAGAAACGACGACGGTTTGGTTCTTGCCATCGCGGATCATGTCCCTAAGGAAGGCCAGTCAGCATCAGACACGCAGCCTTGCAGCTCACGGCCTCCGTATATCAAACAACTTACATGAAGGCCTCCTCAGCAATGGCGAACAGGTGGGGTGCCTGGGTTGCGCGCTGCTTCCCGGCGTACACCTGGACCATGCCCGGGACATAGAGAGAGTCGACTCGAGCAAAGGGGTTTGTCGCTATCAAGACGATACCACTGTAGGTGTAGATTTCCTTTTGTAAGTAGCGCAATCGAATCGCCTGCAACACTGCCCGCCCAGTCTTATAAGCAAAGGTCCGCACCGGGGGGTCGAGGACGGGGACATACCGGCCGGCTCGTTAAGATGCGACAGGTTAGTGAGGTCATCACTGGCTTCAAGGATTGTCGGATTCATGAGCGGCGGCAAGGAGGGATCAGAGCCTCCGCTCTGCAGAATCTCCGTCGAGACGGTAACGGTCCTGGTCTAGACATTTGGCGGCACAACGAGTTAGCTCTGGAGGAGGAGGGGCGCCAGGACATGCGGCTTGTGTTTGCGATCAGGTACAGCAACATACCTCGCCATTTTCGAGCTGAAAGACCAGATTTGTCTTGTTGCCCTCGACATTCTTGCTGATGAGCTCCGAGGCTACCCAGCCCTCGGCTGCGTCAGGCTGCCACGCTCTCGTGCCGACATCGTAGGTCGCTGCCATGGAGGAGCTAGGTCAGGCGGGGGGCTAGAGCTGGAAGGAGTAAGACAGAAGATGGCTGATAAAAAAGAACTACTAGACGGGCCGACGATGAACGAGAGACATTCATGGGCAGGTCGACGCCGAGTCTGTAGTAGCGATGGGAATGCAAACGGGGTGAGGGAAGGTAAAAGGTAGGTGGTTTGTTGTAAGGTAAAGGCGACAGAAACAAGTGCCTTTGCAAGAGATGCGGCGGTGAGAGTGCTGTCCACTTCTCTTGAAGATTAGGGGACAACACACAGGACTGGATGGAGGCCGGACTGTCCTGTCGACAGGATGCTAGCAAGGGACAGCACACACGCTTCTGCCCGTGAGCACAGTGCCGCAACAGCGGGTGGAGGGTCAGGGGGGGGTTTAAATTGGTGCCTCTTCCTATATAGGCAATGCCACCTACATACTGTACAGTGCCTGGGTGCCTGGGGGGGGACTGGCTTAGGAGCTCAAAGCTGGTCACCTGCATGGATACGGTAAGGTACCTCTGCTAACCTCTACAGGGACTTGTCTATACGTACCAAGGTAGGTACTGCCTTGCTTGCATGGATCCGTGCTAGAGGCACAGACTAGAGATGCAACCTCAGCCAGAAGAGCATCAAGGCCAGCCTATCCAGACAGGACATTTCGACGGCATGCCTCTGTCTCTGCCCACTTGGTAGGGACTTAGCAGCGAATCCAAAACACCTCGCGCGTGCTTGCGGTCTGCAGCACGGAGTAGGAGACTGGGGCACTCAGCGTTTAGCCCGCCGTGCCAACAGTCCAACTCCAACATGCGGTACCTCGCACAGTGTGCCTAAACGGTATGTGCCTAAGGGACCGTGATGCTAACCAACCACCGATACAGGTAATCACAGCTCTTGCTCCCTGTGTTTCTGTGTAGGTAATAGCAGTGCCTAGGTACTCGAAATATGAATGACGTTCCAAGAGTGCAAGTAATCTCCAAGGGGCTCCGGGCATCTTTGATTAAGGTCCCTTGGAACTCCATCTCTCCATCTCCCTCTCTCTGACCGGTGCATCTTTCAAGTAGTATGTACTACTGTACTTACCCGCTGTACCTGGGCGGGCTGGTGGGAGAAAAAGGGGACTACTTTGGAGACAAAACCCCGCCACCAACTTGCAAGTACCTACTGTAGGGTCCATGCTAAACAAGCCTGTCGAGCAAATCAGTGTTGCGGAATCGGATATTTCCAGATCTACCAGTACCAGACAGGGTTAACGTCGTTGCGACAGTGCACGGCTTACAACTCAAGGTTGCCCACAAACAGGGGGACTGACTGACTGCAAGCCCCCTTTAATTGGCACAGGCCATGGACAAGTGCGCAAAGTCGCCCAACAACAGTGCGCAAGAGAGTCGGCGCGAGGCATCTCAGCAGACATCGTCGGTCCCTCCTCGCCATGGCGAATCCTCTCACCTCGGGCGAGCGCACACATCCCACGCCATGAACGCAGCCATCGACCAGGACGCGGCGCCCAGAGATGAGGCAGAGGCGTCGACCATCCACGTGCGGGCGCTGGTGGCCGCCGCGCAGCAGCAGAGGACGCGGCGTCGCAGGGGATCCCTCAGGAAGGTTGCGCTTCTGGGCAGAGGCGCGCAGCGCGACAGGAGGGACGGCCGGCCGCTGGTCATTGACACCGAGGCCATCGCGGATGTGCCTGTCTCTGCCGAATCTGGTCGCTTCAGTCCGGCGTCTGCCTCTGCCTCTGCCTCTGGGAGCACGGTGCACGACGCTCTCGGGCTCGACATTTCCCCTGTCTCGTCCCCGACAAGTGAATATCCTTGCCAGCCCAGTCCCATTGGCTCGCCAACTTCTCAAGCGTGCTTCGAGCCCGGCCAGGCGGACATGTACAGCTTCACGACAGACGAGGAAGACCTGATGCAGCTGGAGACGCATGCCTCTGCGGCCTTGCGGTCCAGCCTCCCTCTGTCCTCCGGGTCCGAGTCTTACTACGCTGGGCGAGTCGCCGCTGAACGCCGACAAAAGGCCAAGTCTCCTCTCTCCTATTCCGCCTCGACGCTGCCTCAGCCGGCCGTGGGCTGGGACTATTCCGAGACCGAGTGGTGGGGATGGGTTGTTCTGACGGTCACCTGGTTCGTCTTCGTCATGGGGATGGGCTCTTGCCTCGACGTCTGGAGCTGGGCGTGGGATGTAGGTAAGACGCCGTATGCACCTCCCGAGCTCGAGGACGACCCTACTCTGCCCATCGTGGGCTACTATCCCGCGCTCATCACTCTGACGTGCGTCATGGCCTGGGTCTGGGTGGTTGTTGCTTGGGTGGGAATGAAGTACTTTCGGCATGCGAAGATTAGTGGTGATTGATATCAAAATCAGGTACTTGGGTTTAATACATGTGTGAGCTTAGGTAGCCTTCGCCAGGTGAACTGATTCAAGTGCATGTCTGGTGACTGGATAGGGGGGCGGCTGAGGTCCATGGAGATTCGCATTACAAGTAAACGACGTCTCAGCACCTGCGAGGCATTGCAGACCCGGCGAGAAATCGCATGAGGAAGCAGGTTGATTGGATTTCGGACACCGTCGATCTCACCAGTTGACGGGCTTGGCCACCTACCTACCCTACGATGGTGGTGGTTTGGACAGTATTCGAGGTATTATGGACGTAATCTCTACTCTTGTTGTATGGATCTACACGTCGCATACATACTGGAGTCAATGCTCCTTTGTGGATACAATATCTTGTTGAATATACGTGCTTCCTCTCATATAAGACGGACGACATCGGGCGAGTTCCGAGCCGGCTCGCAACTCATGCACTCATCCCACTCATCCTCCGCACGTATTCGCAGTGAGACTGTAGCCACAAAGGTTCCTGCGGAGAAGGGACCCTCACGGTGTTTGCTGAGGTAATCGCAAGCACTTGCAGTTATACCTTGTACCTGTAGTACCTGCGTTATCACACCCACTTACCTAGTCTTCTCACCGCTTTCCAAGGCGGTGGAGAAAAAAAATGCTTAGAACGGCAGAATTTGGAGATTTTTCCAAACATCTAGGCCGGCTCGTTCGCCGCATCTAATTCTCACTGGAGGCCGAAAGCGCAACTTGCACTGGAATACTCATTCCTAACAGAAGAATATCGGACACAATGGTGACGAAAAGCAAGCTCAAGATGGCACTGGCTGCCGAGAAGGGGGTCGATTTTGCAAAGCTCAAGCAGCAAAAGAAGGCGAAGGAAGCAGCCAAGCGAAAGGCTCACAAAGCAAGCGACAAGAAGCCGGAGAGCGAGGATGGGGACGCTTTGGACGAAACACATGAGGCGACTGCAGACGACCAAGAAAAGGTTGGGATTGCACTGCACTTCTGAAACAACCTGTCTGGCCTGCTAACAATATGCGCACAGATGAACCTCGATGCCATCTACGAGAGCGACACCTCTGAATCATCAATTGAGATGGAGGCGAGACTGCCACGAAAAGCAAAGTCCGACCAGAGCAAAAACCCAAAACAGGAGGAGGAGGCCAATGACGGCCAGGGGGATGACGAGAGCGACGACGAGGAAATTCCCGTCTCCGACCTCGAAGACCTCGAAGAAGAAGAGAGAGAAGATATTGTCCCACACACACGACTGACCATCAACAACACGTCGGCTCTCCTTGCAGCGCTCGACAGGATATCGATCCCGACGGACAATAGTGTTCCATTTGCTACCCACCAGTCCGTTGTCTCTTCTGCGCAGACCTCAGAATCCATACCCGATGTCTCGGATGACTTGCAACGAGAGCTCGCCTTCTACTCACAATGCCTGGAGGCCGTGCGCCAGGGCCGATCTCGCCTGATCCGGGAAGGCGTACCGTTCTCGCGCCCCAAGGATTACTTTGCCGAGATGGTCAAGGAGGATGCCCACATGGAGAAGATCAAGGCGAAGTTGATCGAGGAAGCGTCCGCTAAGAAAGCGGCAGCTGAAGCGCGCAAGCTGCGTGACTTGAAGAAGTTTGGCAAGCAGGTGCAGGTTTCCAAGCTCCAAGAGCGGCAAAAGGCCAAGCGTGAGGTGCTGGACAAGATCAAGACGCTCAAGAGAAGTATGTTGAACCCCCACCCTGTCTCTCAGACTTGGACTCCCCAGCCTTGTACGATGCAAATCTGCTAACAGCGGTTCGATTCACAGAACGCCAGGAACACAGCTCCGACGTCGGCACAAAGGAAGCCGACATCTTTGACGTGAGCGTGGACAATGAAATCGCCAAGCACTCGCAGCGCTCGGGAGCTGGTCGACAACAGTCGGGGGCTCGTACCCCGAACGTCAAGCGCCAGAAGAAGAATGAAAAGTATGGCTTTGGAGGCAAGAAGCGCCACGCAAAGTCGGGAGATGCCCTCAGCTCCGGTGATCTCTCCAGGTTCAACGTCAAGAAGATGAAGGGCAAGGCATCGCGTCCGGGCAAGAGCAGGAGAAAGGCTGCCGCGTCCAAATAACCTTAGTCGGTCAAACATACTCGACCGGTATCTAGACCTTCCACACGGCCCCGATGCGCTGAGTCATAAGACTCGTGCTCAGTCAGGGGCGCAGGTGCACTTCTTCTCCCGCTGCCTATCAGGACCAATCATTGAGAGCTTACCCGCCTCAAAGCCAACTGTTCTTTCTATTGCTTCCATCAATGATTCCATTCAGCCTTGGCCTCACAATCTGCCCGTGAGTAGAGTATATAGGATTTCCATAATCGCATCAATTCGTCCCCCCCCTCTCTTTTGGAATCGAAACAAGCAAACGTGACGCAATCGTGAGGATCGCTCCGGCCATGGTCTCCGCTATGAGTAGGGATTAACTATTCAGCAACGGGCTTTGCGGCAGCACTCGGGGGTTCCGAGATATCAGTGTCAGCTCCGCCTGCAGGATGACAGCACATCTATCGAGCCAAGTATGAGATGCTCATCACCAAGTAGATACAAAGGCGGTCTCGTCCTTGGATTCTGCGCCGCCAGAAGCTGTGCGGTGGATTGATTGCTATGTATTCTAAAATAATGCAAAGTAAAACCGATGATGTTTTGACAAATAACCCAGTGAATCCCTGCCTTCATCTAATAATGCCCTTACAGTAAGTAAGTATGTGGGCATATATGTCGCAGATTGCAGTACGTCTGCCTTGTGTGCCGAATGAGAGTCGTCGTGCGACAGTGTGTCTCTGGCATGAGAACGCCCGATTCTTGAACCTCCACGTCCTTAACGTGGCCCAACTACCAGGTCGAGCGGCCGGAACGGTGCCAGGGGCAGTGCCCAGGATCATGATGTAAACAAACCTAATACGCCTTGAGAACCAGTGGTATCGAGAAGAAATGCTATGCGGTAACGGAACGCTTTGTGATGTTATGTATGTCGCAATTTTCCAAATGAGAAGAACGAAGACCGAGGAGAGATCGCGTCTTCGATGTCTGCTGAGGAGAGAACGGAACAGCGAAATAGAAAGAGATCAGCCCCCCCCCTGAAGCGCGCGACGTCGTCACTGCGCTGCAGCCACACACCAATGGCGATGAAATGCCCAGGCGCTCTTTTGGCACTCCTTACTGCAGTACTTTGTTCGGCGGCAGCGGCGGCATTTGGCGAACTGGCGAGTGAACTCCTCCCATTTGCCACATTGATAGTAGGCGCATTGTCGGATTCCCCCGCGCGTGTCATCTTTTCGACACAGGTTCCGCATCACCACACCCGCCCAGTATTGCATGTCCGTGCTGTGATACCTGACGGTGAACTTCTCGACCAAGGGAAATAGGTTGAAGTTGTCCTCGAGCAGGTACTCGTCCTCAATGTCGCTTCCATTGCCTGCAGAGGCCGCTTCCTCACCCGCTTCCTCTTCGTCGTCTGTGTCTAGGGCCAAAAGATCCTTGCCAATTGCGAGACTCGGCACGAGATGACTCTTCTGGAAGTACGTCCGCAGGCAGCAATACTTTGAGACGTAGGCCAACAATTGCAGAGACATGAGCACGTCTTCTTCGCGTGGCATTGCGGACAGCAACTGCGGATGGGGGATGAGGTGGCGGTCAAGCAGATACCGGGGAATGGTAGAAATCTGAGCCGGCGGGTGTGGTGTTGCGACAAGGTTCGGACGGCTGGGCGAGAGGCCCACTGGCGCAACCGGAGTGTGTGTCATGTCCTCTCGGATGCTCCCATCGAGATTTGTGCGGTGAGTGATATTGAACGTCTCGGCGTCTTGGTGGGCCTCGGATGCCGTGGGGTTGGTCAGATCGAGCGCGTCTCCCGCCAAGAGAGCCTCGTTATCATCCATGGTGATATCTTGGATACCCACAGCAGACTGCATATCCGCAGCACCCGTCATTTCAGCCTCCGGTGCCTCGTCCGATGGCATGCTATCACCATTGAAGTCATCCGATTCCGCCGTCGAGTTCTGATGTCTGATTGAGGGCCGCCTTCGCGATCGGCCAACTGTAGTATCCAAGTTTGCTACAGATCGTACTGCGGGCGGCCGCAGTTGGAGAAGAGGGACGGGCGTCGTTGGTGACAGTGGTTGGGCCATCAAGTCAGTAGATCCAAAGGCGGTCATGGATGTCAGGCGATCTATGTCGCGAATATTTCGCGCGAACCCCTCATGGGCATCAGCAGTCAGGGCCCTAGGAGCAGGAGGATGAGCGTCTTGACCCGCTGTAGTAGCGTATGGCGATTCGGGCCCTTGTGAATCGGAGAGCCGGTGGTGGGTGGGAGAAATCGGACCATCGGTAGTGGCATAGAGATGTGCGTCGATGCCCTGTCCTGTCGGGGTGATGGATGGTCCTGCTGAAGCCTCTGAAGCATCAGGTGTGGACGAGGACTCTCGTCGTGCGAGACTTCGTGCTTCTCCATCGCGAAGTGCTGAGCGGCCGCTGTGTGAGGTAGGAGAGGTTTTCGACGAGTGCCGGTGGTCATGATTCTTGTGTCGGTGGTGATGATCATGGGACTGTTTCTGTTTCAGCTCGTCCGCCTTCTCGCGACACCGATCTATGACCTTGATGTAGTTGTCCAGGATCGTGGCGATGACAGGAACCATGTCTGCCTCCACTACCCTGGTCCGCACAGCCTCCGTTCCTCGGACACCAATGTTCACAACACATTGAAACGCCAGATTCCACTTCCAAACGCTCATCATGTCCCCATTCCGGCCCTGCTTGAGGATGCAGACAAGGCGTTCGATACCCCCATCCACGGTCAGAATATCGCGGATACGTGCCGACGACGTTGTAAGATAGGCAAGATGGTTAAGCGAATTGATCAGAGGCAAAGTCGAGGTGCAGTCGAGTGCTCGGCGATCGTATAAGGCTGTGGTGATCCCCACCGACGCCTTGTTGACGTTGGGGATACTAAAGTTGACTTCTCTCATAATGAATGAGCAAGGTGCAGTTGAACTACCGAGCGATGATCAAGCGCGGCAACTATAATGGCGACGGGCCTCGCGCGACAAGGATCAGGAGCTCGTCGGGCAAGTCTGTCGGCGCAGCTGGAAAGGACTCGTCAATCAGGCGGTAGTGATGGCAGTTATGCGCGACTCGAATTTCTCTCGACGGCGGCCCTGTTGATTCTCCAACGCTCAAATCGCGTGATCGGTCGATGGCAAAGGCAAAACCGCTACGACGAAGCGAAGCCAACAGCGAACCGCAGCAGTTGCGCTCGCAGGACTGTAGTGTTGTATGGCAAATGATGGGATATCGAAAGCAGGAAAAGATGCTTGACGGAAAGTTATCGAAGCAGTGTGATGTTGACCCTTAGCTTGGCGGCTGTTTCAGGCAAGAATTTGGGCGAGGGGGCGAATTCCATAAGCGCTCTGCGGATGGGAGAGAAGAAGGGAGGCAAAACCGACGGAGAAGGCTGGAAGGACGAAGGAATCGAGGGGAGACTGGCTGCTTGCTGTGGCGCGGCTAGATGAGAAACATATAGGTTTAGGCAAGGAATCCGCCGAGGCTGATGATGATGCGGTTATCGAGAGAAGAGAGGCGCGGAATGGAAATGACCGTTAGCGCAGATGGAGAGCAATGAGGTGAGGGCTGGGGATAAGTGTTGCTTCGTGCTAGTGGCAGGGATTCTTCGAGAGGCATGTACTACAGTATATTATTATTGGGGAGGCTGACCAGCAATCCGACATTGGCTCCGTTACCCCGTATCCAGCATGCCCGATTTCTCTACATAAGGTACACAGAGTCAAAGGCGCTACATCCTTTCACTTGCTGGGGTTTTGGTGATTCAAAAGTAGGATTGAAGATACCTACTATACTTTATATACGTTTAGAATAGTCGCAGACTGAATACCTCTGTATAGACGTTGGTACTAAGTATATACTACGTAGGTAGGTAGGTAGGTAGATTTTCTAGTGTGATGCTAGGTAGATACTAGTACTAGTACTACCTAGTAGTAGGTAGGAACCTGTAGTCAATCACTGGCAATACTTAGGATAGATACGGTTGACGTAGGTAGTGTGTACTAGTAAGTGCTGCCTCGGGTACTGCCCAGTACTAGTAATGTTATGAGATTCTCGGACTCATTACGCTTCTGTCGGGTCATCTTACTGAGTAGCTGTAGGGATCCCAGGCGCAGGATAAACGCCAAGATCATGATACTCTGGGCTCTCATGTTTATAGCAGCATTGTAATGCGTCTAGGCTGATCCTTTGTGCGCCGCTCTCAAAGCATACGAGCGGCGAGGTTCGTTCGATCACCATGTAAGGGATCTTGTCGCGGTATGTACTAGGTACTTGTACGAACAAGTGCATTAGGGACCGAGTAATGTCGCAGCTGATAAGAACCGAAATGTTCTAGATAAGAGAAATTTCAACATCTCGACGTACAACTGGCCAAGCATTTTGCTCATCTCCAAACACACACCACCTCGATACACACATCATGCCTCACAAACATAGGTCAAAAAAAGGCGACAATGCAGCAGAGTGCGTGTCCAATTCATCATGTGAAATTCTTACCAACTAACCTTTAGAGTAGATTTGATCTGCCCCCAACAGAGAGCGCGCGCCCTCTCCCAGTAAGCAAGCGCAATGCGACGACCACTTCTGACGGTCGAGTCACGAAGAAACGCCACAGGAACTCCACGAGGAATAATGATACGCCACGAGCCTTCAGGAGACTCATGGCCGTGGCAGGGGGGAAGAAACTCAGGTCAGGCTTGGATGACGGCCAAGCTGAGAAACCGTCCGCAAAGAAGTCTGATAAGCCGAGCGAGGACCTTCAGATTCGCCCTGGCGAGAATCTGGGAGCCTTCGCGAGCCGTGTCGATGCAGCCTTACCAGTATCAGGGCTCGCCAGGAAAACCAGTGTAACCAAGGACGGCAAAGATGCACAAGGCTTCAAAGTGTACCGAACCCGCAAAGAACGCAAGATGCACAAGCTCTACGACCAGTGGAGGGCAGAAGAGTTGAAGCTGCAGGAAAAGAGGGAAGAGGAGCTAGAGCGCATAGCAGAGCGCGACCTGGAAGACGACGCTGCTGGCATTCTTACATCAGCTGCTTTTCAGGACGAAAATAGCCACACGAGAAGAAAGAAAGGCCATAAACGAAAAAGGGTAGTAGAGGAGGACCCATGGCTTGAATTGAAAAGGCGTAGAGCAGAGAAGAAGCCCAAGGTCTATGATACAGTATTAGCACCACCTGAGCTTTTTAAAAAGGGGTAATACTAAGTATTAATATTAAGTATTACTAAAAAGAACTATAAAAATATAGTAAAAAATATTATAAATAAAGTTAAATAATAGTAATAATAATAATAGTAATAATAATAATAATAATAATAAATATATAAAAATACTAAAAGTATTAATAAAAAAACTTTTATAAGTATTTTACTTAAATACTTTATAATATTTCTTATAATATATATATATATATATATTATAAAATTAAAGTAAAATTATATATTATATAAAATATTATATAATATTATAATAACTAGTATATTATAAAATAATATAAAGTATAATTATAGTTTTAAATTATTTTAAATATATACTTAGTATATTAATTAATAAGTAGCCTTAGCTAAGTCTTTGCTTTTTTTATTAAAAAGGCAGAGACTTAATATATATATTTTTATTAATATATATATATATATATATTTTAGCTTTTAGCTATTAAATTAAAGGTATACTTATATAAGTAGTTTAATAAACTATATATTAATATACTTATAGTATTTATTTAGCTTAATTAAAATTCTTAATAGTTTTTATTAAATAATCTTCTTTAAATAAATTTTATAATAAATATATTACTTTTTTAACTTTATTTTATTATAGTTTTATTTTAAACTTTTATTATATAAAAGTCTTTATATAAAGTTTTTTAAGGCTATTAAATATATAATAATATTATATATTTTTATAAACTAGACTTTTTTTATTAAAGCTAGTATATAATATAAGAAAGTAAAAAAAGAGAGAGGATAACTAAGGTTATAAAAAGTTAGTATATAATTATTAATTACTACTAAGTAGTCTAAGAGTTAATTATATAATCACTTTTAAAAGTAGGTGTTTATAAGTAACTATATTTATCTTTAAACCTCTTTAAAATAAAGAGATAGTTTACTCCTTTTATAGCTATAATAATACTATAAAGTTATAAGCACTTTATATTAAGGTTATTATAACCTTATATATATTTAATCTAACTTTATATTAAACTCTTTTTAAAAACTATGCCTTTTTATAAGGACTATATACTATAATCTTAATATTTTTTTTATTTTAGTATACTATATATATATTTATAATAAGTTTAATTAGTTTAATATATAATATAAAGTATTTTATAAATATTAATTTATATATAATATATACTATTTATTATTAATAATTAGCTTTTTAAATACTTTAAAATTATTTTATTTAAATAGAATTTACTATATATTAATAGAAATTTTTATTAATTAAATATATATAATATAATTTATTTAAATATTTTATATATATAAATATATTATATTTTATTATAAAAAGTAAAATTTAAATATAAATAAGAAATCTTTTAAAAATCTAGTTTAAAAAAATATTATATACTATTTATAATAAATATTAGCTTAAAAATATAAAAGAGCTTAACTTTATATTATAACTTTACTTTTTATATAAAAATAAAATAAATTTATATAGTTAAGTAATTAATTTAAGATTTAGTATTTAATTAAAATAGCTAAAGTTAAAACTAAGTATAATTTAAGTATTATAAATAATAATTTTAACCTTACTATACTTAATTTAGTAGTATTTATTTTAATATATTAATTTAAAGTAAAAAAAGTAAAATATATATTAATAAAAAATATAATTTAAGTCCTTGCCTTTTTAATAAATAAAGATAGAGGCTTTATAACTAGGCTTTAAATTAATATAATAAGTATAAGTATATTTTACTATTATATTAAAAATATTTAATTTATTTAAAAAAAAGGATTTTAAATATAGTATTTTTAAATTAATATTTATAAATAAAAAGTAATAAATTATTTTTTAATATAATAATATTATTTAATATAATAATATTTTTTAATTTTATTAAATTAAATATATTTAAGAAATATAATTTCTTATATATTAATTTTTATTATAAAAAGCTTAAAATACTATATATTATATACTTATAAGCTTATTAAGTATTTTACTTATATATACTTACTTATTATAATATAAGCTATAATTATATAATTTATTATAATATTAAAAGCTTAATAAAATAAATAAAAAATAGCTTTTTAAATACTTATATATTAGGCCTTAAAAGACTACTTTTTATATAAAAAATAAAGTATTTCTAAATATCTTCTTAAGCTAATTAAGCTATGGTACGGCTCGATTCATCTGTCTCTCC